TGATAGCATATGATATGCTTTGGATTAATATATTTCTATTATTCTTGTATATAGATATTTTAGGATAAAATCATCTGCTAAATGAATAAATGTTTTTTGTTACCTACATCAGTCACTGACGACTCAATTCCAGACACAGTGAGGACTAATACTAACATGCACAAACCATTAAACCACTTCTAATCTTTTTTCACTGTGGAAACACCCATAGCCTGGAAAGCATCTAGTGTCTGTCAGCGTTATTTAATCTTTAATTAATGGTGCATTTGGTTTTGATTAAAAACACTTTCTTGTAATCAGGTAAATTAAATCTGTAGGTGGTGATATTTGCCAGGATCTGCCACACTGACAGCTATTAAGTCACTATATAATTCAGGGGTGAGCACAAATAGTCGAACATTCAAATATTCGGTCTGAAATTATTATTCGAAAAATAAAAACACTTCGAATTTTACTAAGTGTTGATTTGCTGCCCGTACATGCAGGGAATCCATGATAAAGCCTAAGCAGTTATAACTAAATGCACTGTGTGCGCTGTGGAGCGTGTTAGTTGATCATGTTTGATCACAGAATGCCGTCAACCGCCTCGCGAAGTTTGGATTTATTTTGATCTAAATGATCTGATAAAATGTAATTACTTCTGATTAAATGAATTAGTGAACCTGATTTATCATCATACCACCAGCAAAATGAGAAATCACATGAAATCCAAACACAGTCGACTGAGTAAAGACAGCTGTCCATCACTGCATTCACGACTGCCACTTATTGTCAGTGGATTCAAAATAAGTCAGACTAACTGAAATAAGCCTGGCTTATTTGGTAAACTTGTTCTATAAAACAGGCCCCTGATAGTGAAATGATCTTGAGACACATACATACATACATATATATATATATTAGGGATGTGCACGACGACTAATTTGACTGACGTTTAAACGAAAGTTTTGTATCCGACTAGTCTAAAAGCAAGAAACCCCCAAAAGATGGTAAGAAAAAAAAACCTCTGTGCGTGCGTGTAGCATAATAGCCTATATTTGAAATACTTCATCTATGAATCACACTGTCAAATCCCTCAATGAATTCCACTTGCCGCACACTTTCCAGTCAGCAAATTTCCTTTGGCGCGGATCTGGCCCATATCAACAGCTAAAGTGTGGCCCAGATTAGTTTGTGTTAGCCGGCCCAAAACTGGTCCACATCTTTTTAGCCAGAACTGAACCTAAACAGTGCCATAACCCAACCCTGAGTGAGCCAAATAATAAAAATAGATGTGGCTGATATATGGACCGTATATGGTATTCTTATATGGCTGAGTTCTGTAAAGGGCTAACGGTCCTTATGTGGCCCACATGTGGCTGATAAACCAAATGCCATTATTTAACCATATTTACACCACACCTATTTTTTTTTTTTTAAATACCCATTACACAGTAAATCTTAAACACAAAAATGGATTCACTCATTTTTAAAATGTTTATAGTAGAATTTTAATAACA